TGGGTGAGAGGGGGGCGACAGTAGCTCAGTTGGTAGAGCATTGGCCTTTGGGCCTGAAGGTCGTGGGTTCAAGCCCACCGTAAGACCTACTTCACGACTCCCACTGATGACTGCTGTCGTTGTGTCCTTGGGCAAGACACTTAACCCCACTTTGCCTGAAGCTCCCACTGAAAGATCTCAGCTCCTGTGGACTCACCACCTGCAGGAGGATCAGTGAGGGGCTGGTGCTAAGTGTACTGGGTGTAGCTCTGACTGCCACAACCCCCAACCCAGAAATTGATTAAGGGGAAGAAAATGGATGGATGGATGGATGGGTGAGAGGGGGTTCAGGAAAAAAAAGAAGAAATGAAAATTTGCGTTCTGCAGGTTTGAAATAAGATCAAACTCACTAATTGATATTGGAATGTAACTTAAGTTATCATTTTGGTAAATCATATGTGGCTATGTGCTGAATGCTCTGTATTGTAATTCACTTTAGCTTCAGGAAGACACCGGGAGGTCTGGGGAGCTCATATGCTAAGTGTCTTTTGTTGTGTTGGTTTCTTCCTTTCCCATCTGCATACGAAGGTGTGTCTTGCTCTACCAAAAGGGGCTTGCAGACTGTGAATCTTCAGACTTGTCCTGAGAGAGGCTAGGGTCTGTGCCTTGCCTCTGTCAAGACATTCTCCTTGTACAATGTAACAAGTAAAAGATTAACTTTGTCTCTTTGTTGTGTGCGATTTCATCAGGTTCAACTGTAGTTGAAACAGCATTATCACTCATGCAGCTCGGCCGTGGATCTAAAACAGTAAAGTTCCATCTCTAATATCCTCATATCCCTCACACGGCGATTCCAAACCCGGGGTCCTGCGCCTTGTGTGGGCCTCACCTCTCCCGCCGCAGAAACTAAACAACACAAGAGTTACGAGTGCGTGAATACTTATCAGCCTCTGCTTTACGGACGCGCCGCCACGCTCACCTCCGACGCGCCGGTAATTGAAAACACGAGTCGGCTACATTTACAGGAGGCTCGTAAAAAACAGCTCCCTGAACGTGACTTAAAACCAGCGTCTGTTTGGCTTTGTGCGAGTGTGTAATCGTCAGTCAGGGGTAGAGCTCGGGATAACGGGAAGATTTATTAAAACTGGCAGTGCTTTGAGTTTGTATTTGTTACTATAGTAATATGGCTGGTTTGTCCATATACAGTATATTCGGTTTACTTTGAGGCCGTCCTGTCTGCTTAGCTATTTGGTAGATCACCTTTTGAGTAAATATATCTTTAAATACACCTCTTTGGATCATCTAACTTGGTTTTAGGTAGGTTATTGGTCCTACATTAACAAAAATACATTACTTTGTTTAAGGGATAAAGCTGAGGTTTCTAACTTTTCCCCCATGAATAATACATATCGTTTTGCCCTGTAAAAAACAGTGAAAATCTGAAAAGAAACATGGTCTTTCTCTTAGGAATGGGACATCACCACAGTGTTTGTCTAACTGTGGAAGAGGCTGATTTGAATAAGAGCGAGCTGGAGCCAATTTCCTTATAAGGGCATTTGTTTAGATGGCGTAAGCTTTGGGCCATAACAGGGGTAGACGTGTTGCTATGATGGTTGCTAAGGCAAGCTAGAGTTCCCCCCGCGATTGAAGACATCTGATTGGACAGTTCTTAGGAGGGTGATTTTTTGACCTGAGACCGGAGAGAGACCAAAAGAGACCAAAAGAGACTAGAGAGAGACCAGGGAGAGAGACCAAAAGAGAGACCAGAGAGACATGCATCTACAGCCTCAGTCCTGGACCTACAGCCTCAGTCCTGGATCTACAGCCTGAGTTCTGGATCTACATCCTCAGTCCTGGATCTACAGCCTCAGTCCTGGATCTACAGCCTCAGTCCTGGATCTACAGCCTCGGTCCTGGATCTACAGCCTCAGTCCTGGATTTACAGCCTCAGTCCTGGATCTACAGCCTCAGTCCTGGATCTACAACCTCAGTCCTGGATCTACAGCTTGAGTTCTGGATCTACATCCTCAGTCCTGGATCTACAGCCTCAGTCCTGGATCTACAGCCTCAGTCCTGGATCTACAGCCTCAGTCCTGGATCTACAGCCTCAGTCCTGGATCTACAGCCTCAGTCCTGGATTTACAGCCTCAGTCCTGGATCTACAGCCTCAGTCCTGGATCTACAACCTCAGTCCTGGATCTACAGCTTGAGTTCTGGATCTACATCCTCAGTCCTGGATCTACAGCCTCAGTCCTGGATCTACAGCCTCAGTCCTGGATTTACAGCCTGAGTCCTGGATCTACAGCCTCAGTCCTGGATCTATACAGCCTCAGTCTTGGATCTACAGCCTCGGTCCTGGAGCTACAGCCTCAGTCCTGGATCTACAGCCTCAGTCCTGGATCTACAGCCTCCCTCCTGGATCATGTTTTTTGCAGTTATGTAGTAGTATCCTCGCCATGCTCACACTCCCCTTGGCTGTGTGGACCTGGGCTGGACCTGGGCTGGACAGTGCGCACCGCCCGCCCCTGGTTCTCATGACCTCAGAGCCACTGATGCCGCGGGGAGTAGTCTCCTGACAGTCCTGGTGTTTGTCTGAGAACCGGGGCCACATCCAAAACGTCACCCCTCCAAAGCAGAAACTCGAGGCCCGGCCCGCGCCCATAACTCACGGATGTGCGGCTTGGCGGGCCGCGCTGAGTGGGGAATCCTGCCTTGTGTCTTGATTTTTGGGCGGCGTTTAGGAGGACGCGGCGAGCCAAGTATCATTCATCACCCAACGAGTTCAGGCCCGGAACATTTATTTGGGATTCGGTTACGAGCCAAAGAGAGCTGCAAAAAGGAAGTCGCAGAGATTTGTTCGAAGAATGAGGGGAATGGGAGGTGGGAATGTGAATGAGTGTGTTTAAGTCGTTCATCATTAAAGCTGGGGAACCTAACTTCAACAGCACAAAACATGGATCCATATGAAATTAAATCCATCTACGCCAGCGGTTCTTCGCAATAATGGAGACTCTCTCTGGTGTTTCTCCTTCTGGTCTCTATCTGGTCTCTCTCTGGTCTCTCTCTGGTCTCTCTCTGGTCTCTCTCTGGTCTCTATCTAGTCTCTCTCTGGTCTTTCTCTAGTCTCTCTGGGGTCTTTCTCTCTGGTTTCTCTCTGGTCTCTCTTGTCTTTCTCTCTGATCTCTCCGGTCTCACTCTGGTCTTTCTCTCTGGTCTCTCTCTGATCTCTCCGGTCTCACTCTGGTCTCTCTCAGGTCTATCTCTGGTCTCTCTCTGGTCTCTCTCAAGTCTCTCTCTGGTCTTTCTCTCTGATATCTCTGGTCTCTCTCTGGTCTTTCTCTCTGGTTTCTATCTGATCTCTCTCTTGTCTATCTCTGGTCTCTTTCTGGTCTCTCTCTAGTCTCTCTCTGGTCTCCCTCTGGTCTATCTCTGGTCTCTCTCAAGTCTCTCTCTGGCCTCTCTCTGGTCTCTCTCTGGTCTCTATCTAGTCTCTCTCTGGTCTTTCTCTAGTCTCTCTGGGGTCTTTCTCTCTGGTCTCTCTCTGGTCTCTCTTGTCTTTCTCTCTGATCTCTCTGGTCTCACTCTGGTCTTTCTCTCTGGTCTCTCTCTGGTCTCTTTATGGTCTCTCTCTGGTCTATCTCTGGTCTCTCTCTGGTTTCTCTCAAGTCTCTCTGTGGCCTTTCTCTAGTCTCTCTGGGGTCTTTCTCTCTGGTCTCTCTCTGGTCTCTCTCTGGTCTATCTCTGGTCTCTCTCTAGTGTCTCTCTGGTCTCTCTCTGGTCTCTCTCTGGTCTCTCTCTAGTCTCTCTCTGGTCTCTCTCTGGTCTCTCTCTGGTCTCTCTCTGGTCTCTCTCTGGTCTCTCTCCGGTTTTTCTCTTTGGTCTCTATCACAAGTCATTTTATCCAAGAAAAATCCAAGATAAGGACAAAATACAAACATCCAGAACTGAAAACCAGCCAGGAACATATAACACAATGGTATAGACAATGGACAGACAAAAAGTGGGAATAGATACACACAGGGACACACAGGTAGATCTAATAATAATAAATAATTGATTATCCAAACGTCCACACCTTGGCAATAGGGAGCGGGATGACCACTGTCCAGAAATGTTAATAAACGTCCTTAAATATCCTGGATTGTTACTGTCCTAAGACCCACCTGCATCGGCAAGAAACCCAATGGGACCATCAAGGACTCGAACCAATAGTCATTTTGTGGAAGATTCAAAACAATACACTTAAATCCCTGCACGAGGACTGTTGGGATGAATTTGCATCTGTTCCGCCCCCCTATCTGACGGCCTCCTGGCTGACCCTGGCTGACCCTAACTGATCAATCAAGTGTGACCTTTGGGGTATATACAGTAGGAAGTAGGAAGCCAGCCCACTGCTAGCTCTTTCAGTCTGCATGCTAGCTACCAACCTCTGAGGCCGAATCCCAATACCCACACTGCACCATCCTCTAGCTGTATGATTTTAACTTAAATGTGGGTAACTAGCTGTTATCTGGTAAGTTTTTATACATCCTAAGTTTATTGTACTAAGTGTAAAGTTTAAATTGAATGTTATATAAAAGCTTGGATAAAAAAAGTTATTAATAGGTCAGGAGCACGTCAACAACATACTGATGACCCTGGCTATTGTGTGGAGGCTGCCAATTCGAAATCATTTATCAATGATCTGTGAAAATAAGGTTGGTATAATTCGAACAATAGCCTTGAGGTAGTCTGTGAATGTGTACTTCTTCCCCCGGAACGAAACCCGAACCACTCCTGTCTCGCCTTGGTCAGCGGGAGGAAAAGAACCGCATTTGCTAGCAATCAATCCACACTGAATATAATTTTATGCATTTGGTTCAATTGAGTTCAACAGCGTGTTGTGGATTAGAAATTTTTTTTTGGTGCCCTTTGCACTACTGCCTCGTTCACATGCGCTAGAGGTCCCTGTACCATGCGCCAGGCTGTGGACGGGAGTGCGCTTCTTTACTGAAATATTGGGGGTCAAACACATCACCTCAGGGGCCAACTCTGATCCACTCCAGCCTGTAGAGAGAGTCAATGGTGGGTTTTTATACCTCGTCTGCGTCTGAGTTTTAATGGGTACTGTCTGACCTTAGGCCTGTATTCATTTTTTGGTATTATTTCAACGGGCTCTGAGCCTTTCATGATCCCACAACAGCGGTCCCTACTCCAGATTTTATGTCAGGGATCTGGTCCAAATGGTGCGGCTCCTCAGTATGAAATAAATACCTCTGGGGTCAGTCTTTTTCCTTTAAATTTACTCGTGGAACTCCCATGGCCTCGGAAATAATCCGAGTCTTACACCAACCGTGGCATCCCCCTGTAATACAGTGGATTACCGGGCATGGGCTTCCTGTCTGTGATCTGTTTTTTACGAGAATCCTAAAGGACGCGAGTACCTCCTTCATGCCTTTCTTTCTCGATACTGAGATGTGCGATAGCGCAACATGTACATCAAACATGACACATTATGCGGACGCTCCAACATCACAAAAGGACACATCTCCTTTCCAATAGAAATTTGTGAGGTTCACGATTTTGTGGTCCCTAGCCTATGATCCAATCGTCGTAAATGGGTTCAGGTCCAGGGATAGCCTTGTACCTAGCGTTAGGTGTAACCTTATCATCACTCCATCAATCGGGCATTTTTTGGACATACTTTTCTGCAATGCAATTATGGAGTACCCCCACTGAGCATGGGGAAAGGGCTGGTTATTTAAATCAAGGCTCCACCAATAATGTCCGTCCTCCCTGTGATCTGTACTACATAAAGTCCTGGTCCGTAAGTTTTCCTTTGGTCACGATCAGTGTTTTCTCTGGTCCAGTCCCCACAATCAATCCAGATTTGAAATTAAGGTCTCGTCATAATAGATTGTGTGACAATGTTGGGCCCAACACAACGGAAGCTCCACTTCCGATTCTGGGTCCCCAGGAATCTGTATTTTACCATGGTTTGCTCATCTTACAATTCAACTGGTTTTCCCGCTAGCTCCCAAACTAAGGATAGTTTGTTTGGACTCTGGTATGTGGTTTTATGTCCCCTCAGTACAGATCCATACTTGTGCCTGCCGGAGTCTACGAGGAAATAAGTGGGTGATCCCTACGATCCATAATGTATATTTCTGGTCTGTTTTGGTGTGTAAATTTCTGTTTACCCTTTCTCTTGTGATCTTCCAAATACTGGGTATACTGATGTGTAAGGCTTTCCGCTGAATACATCCAGTTTCTAGCTGCAAGGGTTTTGTTTCCCCTGCATAGTCCTTTCCCTTCTGTTTCAGTGCGTCCTTCAGGGTACAAATATTGTAGCAGTAATCCTATTTTATCGATCTCGAATGTGGCTGCTACCACTCGTAACGCTTCTGCCACTTCTTCCTGAACTTCACTGAGTGGGGATGAGCACTCCCTCATCCACTCATCATGCGTCCAGAGGTAAGTGGATTACAGGAATTATTTTCTTTTTTCTCGTGAGTCTTTTCATTTCGGCTTTGTTTTACCACAGCTAAAGTAACTCTCTTTCTTACGGTCCATCCTCCTCGTCCTCGCCAGAGCGCCGAGTCGCAGACCGGAGGCATCTCTTTCTTCCCGTACTGTTCTTTTTCATGGTGTTCCCTGGCTTTGGGTCCTCAACTACGTCGAGTTACACCACTGTCTTGAGTATAAAAGATCGTCATGGGATATATCACAACATTGAATATTCACCATTCAGAACCAAGCACACTTGTACCAAAAAACCTGGTCCACAGCTAAGTCTGATCTTTCACTCTAACATAGAGAAGTTTCTGAAACCTTTCGGTTGTTGGTTGGTCTCTACACGGGACCGACCAGTCCTCAGCGCAGAGGAACGGAGAGGAAGGTTCCACGTAGAAAGGTGGGTTTTCCGGTGTTTATCCGGCCTGGCCCAGGCACTTGTCCAATCTACCGTCCCTCGCCCTCCACGACGAGTCCTGAATTCCGGCTCGAATAGACAAAGTCACTGTCAGGAAATTACACCAGGCACTAAGCGGGTGACTAACAGATCATAGGACCCAAAAACCAAAACAACCTAGAGGCTGAAACTACTACACCTTGCAAGTCCAACTCCTGTACCTACAATAACTCAGAGGACACTGTAGTTATGATATACGTGATCACGGGGGAAACGCATCAAGCTATCAGACTGCTCAGGACACGTCCGTGACGTAGCAGATGAGATCATCCGCGATGTGCGGCTTTCAGGCACAGCTTTTATTCAGCACCGAAAAGCATGTGTGGTTACAGTACACGATACCATATTTGTTCAATAGCAAGGCAGATGTGGCTCACAGAACGCCCCCAACTCCCAGGCTGCAAGTATGCTTTCCATAACATCTTGAAACTTTCCGTTGTTCATGATCAATTCAGAGAAACTGTTGCTAAAGCGCGTCATCAACCATCCTGTTCCCTTGCACACACTTTCACAAATCCTGTTCCCCAGCACACACTTTTCACATGAACATTTTAGTTTATCTTATTATGCGCTTACAAAAAAACAAAACCAGGGGGGGGGGGGAGAGACTTGAACATAAACCCAGGACATTCTTTCCACAAATGTATTTACAGTCCAAAACTTACAAGTTGAATTACAAACTGCAAGGCAGGCTGAGGTGACAGAGGCTGCTGGAACAGGATGTGCAGCAAAGACAGATCGTAAGTGACGGAATTATCTGGCACTGAAGAGCATTCCAAAACTGAGCTCAAGAAGCCATGTGTAAATATGCAGCAGG